TGGGCATATACCTAAACTTAAGCCTAGACCTACGCTCAAGTCTAAGTCTGGACCTACGCTCAAATCTGAGCCTATACTTAAGCCTGAGCCTAGACTTGTGCATGTGCCTAGGCCTAAGCCTAAGCCTCAGCCACAACAACCCGTAAGTAACTACAGCATATACAATATAAAAGCCAAAATTAAAAGCATTAGGCCTACAGAGACCATTTGACGTTGGTGAGCATTTTAGATGTAAAGATAAAAATAATGAATGAATGCATAAGAAATAGAGTAGCAAAACGAATGAAAGAGCGAGCGATATATAGATAGAAATGTCAAAAGCGGGCAAACAAGTTATTGAAAAAGTACTGACAAATCATTATTGTTCATTAAAACAGTGTGAGGGTTCGGCATTCGAAGTATTTGTTAAACTTTAAAATATTTTCCTACGACGCACATTCATATAAATAATTGTTTAATTATTTGGCATCATTCACAGTACAAAGACTTCAGACATCTGGTTGTGAATTTGCAACAGAGCCTAAAAATAAATACAAAAATAATTTCTATAATTATTTAGTGCCTTAATGGCACAAGCGATGAAACTTAAATGAGATACACAATAATGGAGACACAGGGATATGGTATGTGGTGGGAACAAGATAATGAATCTTTGAAATGATAACAATATCAATATCAAAAGAAGGTCTATGATAAGGAATATGGGGGTGGGGAGGGAACAAGAAATGGTGACGAGGGGAGACGGGACTGAGGGTGATATGATAATTTTTTTTAAGTCAATGCATGCTTGATCACTCAGGATACCCATGTCACGATTAAGGGTTAATATGCGAGCACTAATTATGATGATGAGTTTGGCTTCTGAGCGTCTTCTGTGGTCGAGAGATGAAAGATTGTCAACTAGCAGAACACGTCGGATGTTGTCAATCAGGAAAGTCAAAGTGATTGACGACAGGGAACAAGCTTAAACCACGGTGTAAGGTTCGCAAACACCTCGTCACCGACAGCCTCCCACAATCCTCTTCCTCTACCAACCTTTCTCCTCTAATGTGACATATCTACAGTAATGTTGGTTATTATTATCTCCTCACGTGCAATATCTGTGATCATGGCTCTTATATAGGCGAAACCGGTACCGTACCGTACTAAATTCAAATTCCGGTTTAACAACCACGGACAGCGTGTCTGTAACACGAGCAAAGAGTTCCCTGTCGCGATATTTCAAAAAAATTCATGAACATTATTGTACTGTAGATCCTATTGTTAATTTTTATTAACTTTCTATTATACTTTGGGATGAAGGACACATTCTACGTTAAAGGGCTTTTGGACTATTGCTCTTAGCTCCACCCTCTTAAGGACCTCCACAACAGACAGCGTAAGCGTATCATACTTGCTTGTTTGAGGGACATGCCCGTATTCCACATTTTTTTCCGTTGATCATTAGGTCAATAGACCGATTCACAATAAATGAATAAAATTAATCACTATTACTAGTCCTACAGTAATGAATAAAATAATTGTAAACCGGCAATTGTGGCGCCAGTGGGCCACACTGTATGGGCAAAATTTGTGTGAAGTTAGCTTAGGCCTACACAGTGGAGTTTTAATAAACTTTATTTAAACAACTATTTAGTATTTTGTATTTGCAGACTGACAGTAAATGTAATGTTTTAAAATTTAGAATCCATTGAGTCAAATCAATCACTTGTTTTATTTTAGCATTGATTCAAATAGGCCTACTTAGCTTACATAGTGGAGTTTTAATAAACTTCAACTGAACAACTATTTAGTATTTTGTATTTGCCGACTGACAGTAATTAATGTAATGTATTAAAATTCAGAATCAAATCAAATCAATCAATCACTTGTTTTATTTTAGCACTGAATCAAATACAAGGCCCGAAGGCCAACACTAGGTCCCTTCACGATGTACAGAGCAGCTGATCATCAGGCTGTGGCGGACAGACTTGAAAACAGCGCAAACTATATGTTCTATAAGGAAGATTATGAATAATTCATGTGATTTTGCTTATCATCCTACGAAAACAAATTTCCCGTAATGAGGCGCCAAGTACGACAGGGTATAAACAAACTTATGTGTTAGACCCACCAGGAAGATACCTCCCTGGACCCACCAGTGATATAGTTTTTGTGGAGAGTTCTATCTTGTGTTACTAGTATCTTTGCTTTAACCTCTTACTATCGTGTTTTTTTTTTTCATAATCAACCCGTGCGCCGCAGAAACGTCTAGAAGGCAAGGTAAGATGATATTAATAACATGTCGACAAATAGAGCCCCGAAACCTTGACTCAGAAATACCGGGTTGGTGTCCGACGGGGATACTTTTCCACCAAATTTTTACTTTTTGTATCTCATATTTCTTAGTTCTGGTTGCCTCATTGTTTGCTGTTATTGTACAGTGTTTTGAAGGACCATATTGTAGAACAACGTTAAGATCTCGTCTGTATATAGTGTTATCCTGTCTACAGATGTTTTAAATAAAATATTAAAATAAAATAAAATTGGTCATCCGTCAAAACGTAGGACCAATTGCTAACTCCCTGATAAAACTACATTCACACTGTACCTTGCATGCCTGTCAAATAAAATTAACTGAAATGAACCTTAACACATTCCATTTTAGAGAAAAGTTCCACTACCACAGCATAGAGTGCGGTATATCTGCGCAAGCGCACTAGTACACCAAAGAAAATAACATAACAAGTAAATAATTAATAATAATGACAGCAACAGCAACAACAACACAATACGGTAATAATAATAATAATAATAATAATAATAATAATTATTATTATTATTATTATTATTATTATTATTATTATTATCATTATTATTATTATTATTATTATTATTATTATGATAATAATAATAATAATTATTATTATTATGTAAATTTTCCTTTTTTCAGATAAAGAGTTCACGTAGTTTACAGATGGAGAGGTCCCACAATAGGTCAGTCGCAAGGGCAGCTGAATTGAGTAATTTGAAGGAAAATTGCAAAAAGCATATGGGTCACTATGGGTATTCCATTACCAATGCCTTGAAGACCAAGAAGGGAAAACTAGGATATTCGCTGGCATATGTGGACTCACACCATTTTATAATCAATATGGTACCGTTTTCCGGTGACAATTTCTGGAAAAAGCTGGTGCTGGGCGTGCAGGGTTACAAGAACCCAGCCGCCGACCGGATAGAAAAAATGCTAAATCACATGTCGTCCCTAGACAAGTATGGGTTCGCCGATCGACTTATGTCCCACAAAAAGGTTCTTTTGAAACGAAACCCTCTAAAGCGATTGATTGCTGCTTACAGAGATGCGTTCGAAGGCAAGTTTGTAAGAACTGAAATTCAGGAAATACGAACCAGTATAAACGACTTCTTGAAAATTAGCGAGGACCCCTCAAAACCGGTTACATTTTCAGAATTTGTCAGCTATGTTTCGTCGTCTTTATCTCATCCAACCGCTGAACGATTATGGGGTCCAGTCGCCAAGCGGACCTTGCTTTGCGACATCGAATGGGACTATACTTATTGCGTTGACAATCATTATGAGGATTACAGGCAAATAAGATCTGCTTTAAGATTGTCTCAAGCAGTTAATACTCCGCGTCTGGACCACTCAACCATTATTCCAGATAAAATAGTACGAGAATATTTTACAACAGTAGATAATGATATTTTGCAAAGGTTCTACACAACGTTTGAATTAGATTTTAAGTTATTGGATTATAAAATGCCAAGTCTGTCTGAGACAAGACAGGAGAATGGACTTGTTTGATTCAACAAATTTATAAAGAATGTTGATACCAAATAGCAATATGGTACAGACCCAAACAGACTTGCAAAATACAATTTTTAGTTCAGTTAAAACATGGAATAATATATCATTTAAAATTATCAAATGCCCAATGGCTATCTAGGAGTTTTGAAATGGGGAGGGGAGAGAGTGGGTAGGGCTCGATATGATATGAGGTGATTTTAAGTATTTAGGCGTATGCCTATTTTTTTTCTTCGGACGTTTTCATTTTGGGGAGGACTGTGGTGTATGGATCCCGTTTTCTTCGCACACTCCCTAGATACGCCACTGCAATGCCGGTTAATATCAAATTTGTATCTCCACCTAGATCCAGCCATTGTTTCCCACAGCATTGTTATTTTTTAGTATTTTGCCTTTTAATCTATATGTTATATATATATTTATATACGACTATATACTACCATAGTGGGAAACGATAACAATGGAAAGGGTTAGAAATAATACCTTAAGGCGAAAATACTG